GGGATTCTTGATTCACTTCCGGTTTTCAAACTCAAGTTATTTCATTCACTTTACTTCCTCAGATAAACACTTTTGGACGCAAGGATTTGTAATGGTCGGTCGTGACAAACTCGACTGCGTGCCTCTGTTTCTGGGTGAACTTGCAGATGACATTTTTGTTTGTGGAAAAACAATTAATTTGTTAAAACTATGCTGCCCAGGGGTGAGTGTCATCTTAAGTTTTCATTTTACAACGTATTTCTAAGATGTATATTCTCCATACTGTTCTCCAAACATTTCCCAAGGTGCCGAAAAGGAGAATTTGTGTAACAATCGAGAGATTCTCTAGTTGGTGATCATTGCCTTTATTCTCGTGACCTTTATGTGATATTGAGGCGTTATATTGTAAGGAGAATTTAAATGCACGTCGCTAGTGGGGTTCAATGGGTTAAACGTCGGACAAGTACACGGTTAAGGATATTTGAGATACTTTTTTTATAAGATGCTTTTTTCATGTCATTAATGGTATGTCGTATTTTTCCTTTTTTTTTTTTCAGCACTATTTATGTGATCCAGGAATTCCCCTTCCTAAAATGGAGGTGACATTTTCAATGCAACGACTTAGTAGAATAGAGGCGGAATGCCAACACTACATGAGTGAGATACAAAGAATGCATCGGCAACTTCAAGAGCAACGAGAAAATGAGGTAAACAGTAGAAATGGTCAAAGTTTTTTTTTTTTTTTGGCACCTGGATTTGGTGCAAGTGCGCGTCAAGGACGCACCGATTGGCTGAAAATACAAAAAAACGTGAAATGGCACAAATAACACATCTTTTTGTTCACATATGGTTTGGGTGTCAGTCTATTTCACTACTGATTTAATTCAAACCGGAGTAGATCTGCGAAGAACTATTTTCAGAATGAAAGTAGCTTTTGGTATTTTTGTTAAGTTTTTTGACGCCTTCTTTAAAACCTCAAAACGTAGAAGTATTAGAATCCCTTACCACAACACTGTGCAGCGCAATAGGTCATGGAATGAAATATTAGATGGTTTTCCCCCAATTTCAAACAATACTAAGCGTGGATCCTTTTATTCTTTTGCTGGGATTCTTAACCATAGGTTGAAGGAGTCGTA